CAAAAAAGGTTTAAATTTAACGAGGCTTCTATGCCGAACACGTGCTTCTTTCATATCGTAAGACAGGAAGTAAAAGACATGTTCGAACTCTACTTTATCTATGTGGTTTGTTTGTTCAGAACTTTGGGGATCATGGCTCTCCACAATTTCCTGATCTGCATAGCTCTTAGTAAATTTTATTTTTTTATCTCTCTTAAATTGTCATCCCCCAACTATTAACTCATGCTCGTTAAGTTATGTGCTGTTTTCCTGCCTTTCTTACCATCAATATGCCCTGTGAGTATCAGATTTTCCAAGCCCTCTATCTTCAGTATGTGCCCTAGAAATATCAACTGTCGCTTCCTGATGTTAATTCTAAATGCCCTATTTGTTTTCCATTTTCTCGTTGCTCATATGTCCTGTCCACAGAAGTCGAGTCAACACTGTACCAAAGTGGGTAACCACTTGAGAATATCAGGTTCTGTAAGCTTGGATGTGTGGATGGTGTCATTGATAAGAGTTCGGAGTTGGAAAACCGATTTATAATTCCAGATGGTTTCATTAAATTCACTTATGTGCAAATACTCTTGGGAAAGGTATGGATTCATCTCTTTTCTTCCCAGCTATGGGTTAATTAGTAGGACTTGTATCAGTAAATCATTATTATCCCCCAAATATTCTTACAATCCAAAAATATTCCCTGGCTTTAAATAACCTGCAAAAGGTTGATAAACCGTAAAATACAAACCAATAAATCAAAATCTCATCTCTTATTTTCTTTATTTACTTTTCTTCTCGCTTTTATTTATTTTTCTTTCGGTTCTTTTATATTTTTCTTTTCTCTTTTATTTCTTTTTTTCCTTCGTTTAATCTTAATTTCTCTTTTTTCTCAGTTTTCTTTTTTTTCAAGATGATATTTCTTCATGTCATGCAAATTTTGTAGTTCTAATTTCTCCCCCAGACCGAGTATAAAGGTTGGGGATATCATGTTATGTATTTACCTATATTTCTGTCTCCATCAAATAAAGTTTTAATGGCTATTTTACTACGGATTTTTCATTCTTATTTATTACCTTTCTGCTAGCGTTTTTTTTTGTGTGGTTTATTGATTCTCGAAATGTTTATGAACTTCTTTCCAGATAAACAAAGCGGAAATATATCTTCCATCTAAGCGAATAATGGCGTTGAAAATTTTAAAATAAAATAAAATGGCGCCGTACAGAGGCAGAGAGTTTTGTCGTCTGCTATTTTCGTTATTCAACCGCAAAATTACAAATTATTCCATTTCGAATTTCTCCTGAGTGTATAAATCTCAGACATTTTCTCTGATGAAAAATTGGAACCAACGTTTAGCAACAGGAAATACAAATCTACACAGGTTTTCGGTCTTCGATTTCTTACAATCGTCTTAGCGTTTATTAACCTTTAATATCACATTTTTTTAAAAATTTGTTTTATGAAATCCTTTCAATTCTATCTGGCTTGAATAAATATTACAATGGAAATATAAAATATATATGTTTCAATATCCGGCATCCCAGCTTCTGAAAGTGGAATCGGACTGTACATGAAACATCTCATGCATGAATAAACTTTCGGCTCCAATTTTCGATCGTTCATTGCTGATTCATTTAAACACAATTTTATTTGGTAAATATTTTATTTGCAAATGATGTATATATTTTTTAATGGAAAAAATGTATTGAAAAAAAGAACCGAGGCACAAAAGAAATAACAGATTGGTTTTATTTCAGTGAAATTAGCCAAGTTTGGTTTGTCTTACGGTAGAAGAAAAAAGGAAAAAAAACGAATCTAGGAAAATCATGAAAAATTGACCAAATAAAGAGTGAGTGAGTGAGAGAGAGAGAGAGAGAGAGAGAGAGAGAGAGAGAGAGAGAAAGAGTCAATATAGCAAGCAATCTTCGTTTTATTTATCAATAAAATGATTGAAGATAAAAGAAAACGTAAGAGAAAGAAGAGATAAAGAAAAAGAAATGAAGAAAAAGGAAGAAATAAAGAAAAAAGAAAGTAAGAAAGAATAAATCAAGAAAGAAAGAAAAAGAAAAAATAAAGAAGAAGGAAAGGAAGAAAAAAGAAGTGATAAAGAAAAGAAAGAAGACGTGATGAACAAAAAAGAAGAGCAGATAAAGAAAAAGAAGAAAGAAAGAAAGAAAGAAAGAAAGAAAGAAAGAAAGAAAGAAAGAAAGAAAGAAAGAATAAGGAAAAACAAAAACAGAAAGAACGGACAAAAAAGAAAGAAAGAAGAAGCACGGTTAAAGAAAGAAAGAAAGAAAGAAAGAAAGAAGGAAACAAACAAACAAACAATTGAATTTGGAACAAGAAAGAAAGAAAGAAAAGGTATTGAGAAGTTACAAAAAATAGTAAAAACAAGAGAAATTAAATGCATTGGCATAGATAGATAGATAGATAGATAGATAGATAGATTATAAAAAATAGAAAAAAGACATAAAGCAATGCGTTGGCAAAGAAAGAAAAAAAGAAAGAAAGAAAGATAGAACGAGAAGAAAGAAAGAAAGAAAAGTCAATTGCGTTAAAGAGAATGCGTACCTTCTTTAACTCTCCCCAAGAATTTGTCTTCATTTTTTTCTTTTTAAATTCTTCCTCTTCCTTTCATTCTCTTTGTTAACTTCTGTCGATTGTTCCATAATTCATTTCTTTCATTTTATTCTCTATTTTCTTCGCCTTTTTTTATTTCCCTCTTCCCTTCATTGCATTTAGTTTCTTCCTTTTTTTTCTTCGACTCTTTCTTCCTCCTTACTTTTCCTTTTATTTTCCTTCCGTTTTTATTTCCTTCTTACCTAACATTTATTTAGTATTTCTTTCATTTCTACAGCCCTTTATTTATTTCTTCTTTTCTTCATTCCTTCCTTCCTTTCTCTTTATTTCTTTCTTTCTTTTTTTTCATTCTTTATCCGTTCTTTCTTTCTTTCTTTCTTTCTTTCTTTCTTTCTGTCTTCTTCCAAATTCAAATTTGTTTGTTTGTTTGTTTGTTTCTTTCTTTCTTTCTTTCTTCTACTGTTACCATGTTGAAGCTATTGCTTTTGTCGCTATAGATTTTTAATCTTAGGCAACAATTATATTTTGCACATTTATAAAAGTTTGAAAACTTTTCGAGTGATCATTTGCAACGCATGACTTCTGGGGTTCTCTAAAACCGTCCGTACTTAAATGCGATGTAAGTAATATTTCCATTTTCTTTTAAAATTTTTATTTTCTTAAATATCTGGATGTTATACATCGAGAATAATTATTAATAATTTTAAAGATTTCCATGTGAGATAAACGACAGATGGTGAAGTCAGCCTAAAATAAATTTAATGATTATTATATATTTTCTCTCTTCTGCATTTCGTACACTTTTTTTACCGTTGCTACACTCGACCAAACCCGGCAACCAATTTTCTCCGGAAGAGAAAATAAAGAAAGGAAATAATAAATTTAAAGAAACCAAAACAAACCATTTTAATGCTCTTTGTTATGAGGGAATGCATTTCATGAGGCAAACATGGTCAGTTCGATTAAGCTAAAATCTTGACGTAACTCATTTGGCAGATAAAGCGTACAGTTTGGCGGGAAAAGTTTTAAAAGCAAATGAGAGTTTTTTTTTTCTATTCTGGCAACGAGGTGAGATTGATAATGGGGTTAGACAGACGGACAAATAGATGAATTGACAGACGGACAAATAGATGAATTGACAGACGGACAGATAGAATCAGGCGGATAGTTGAAGAGACGCTTTGACTAGGAAATGATGGAGATTGTTTTCGTGTGTGTTCACTTTGAGGTGTGAGGAATGAAATTGATTGATGTAAAAGAAGAGATTGAGGTTGTATCAAATATAAAGGTTTCAAAGGATGGGTTTGGGGGGTGAGAGGTCAACAGAGCAGCAAAAGGTAGAAAGAGAGATAATGAAAGAATAAATAATATCGGCGTAAATAAAGAAAAGCAGAAAACAGAAGGGGAAAAGATGGAAGTAAAAGGGAGGAAAGAAGGAGATGTAGAAGAAGAAGAAGACGACGACGACGACGAAGAAGAAGAAGAAGAAGAAGAAGAAGAAGAAAAAGAGGAAGAGATGAAGGAAAGGAAGTAAGAGTAGTAGTGGTAGGAGAGAGACAAAAAGGATTTTAAAATAAGATTGGATTGAAGAAGAAGAACAGTTTAAAAAGTGAATCACGAAAAAGGGTTAGAAGAAGAAGAAGAAGAAAAAGAAGAAGAAGAAGGAGGAGGAGGAGGAGAAGGAGGAGGAGGTCAGGAGAGGAGGACACAAAGAAGAAGGATAAAAAAGGAAGACAAAAAGGATTAAGGAAAGATTGAGGATAAAGACAGAGAAAAAGGTTAAAAAATAATATTGATATTTATAAAGAAAAACCATTAACACAGTGAAATATGAAAAAGGAAGAAGATTATTATTATTATCATTATGCAAGAGGAAGAGATGCTGATCATTATGAAAGAGATGATGATGATGATGATGATGATGATGATGATGAAAAAGGAGGAGAAGATGATGATGATGATGATGATTATGAAACAGGATGACGAGAAGATCATGCTGCTGCTGATGATGACGACGATGATGATGACGAAAGAGGTGGAGGACAAGAAACGGTTTTAAAATTTAAAACTGGATTAAAAATGAAACGCAGTTAAAAAAAAAAAGGAGACATGAAATTCGGAGTCGAAAAAAAAGGAGGAGGGGGGAGAGGAGGGGAGGCGGCGGAGGAGGGGGAGAGGAATAAGTCTGAAAATAAAACTGGGATAAAGAAAAGCAATGGTAAGAGTAGAAATGGTTAGAAGGAGAAAGAGGATAAGAAGAAGAAAGAGTAGAAGAAGAAGAAGAAAAAGAAAAAATACGACGATGAAGAAGAAGAAGAAAAGGAAAAGAGTAAAAGAACAAGAGGAAGAGATGAAGGAGGGGAAGTAAGAGGAGTAGTGGTAGGAGAAAGACAAAAAGGACTTTAAAATAAGATTGGATTGAAGAAGAAAAACAATTTAAAGGGTTAGAAGAAGAAGAAGAAGAAGAAGAAGAAGAAGAAGAAGAAGAAGAAGAAGAAGAAGAAAGAGGATAATAAGAAGGGGCGAAGAAAAAGAAGAAGAAGAAGATGAGAGAGGAGAAAAAGAAGAAAAAGAAAAAAAGAAGAAAAAGGAGACGAAAGGAGAAGAAGAAGTTGAAGAAGGAAGAGTATTAGAAGAAGAAAGAGGAGAAGAAAAAAGAAGAAGAAAGAGGATAATAAGAAGGGGCGAAGAAAAAGAAGAAGAAGAAGAAGAAGAGAGAGGAGAAAAAGAAGAAAAAGAAAAAAAGAAGAAAGAGGAGACGAAAGGGGATAGTTTACAGCACAATGATAGCGAAGAAGTAAGCCTTGAAGGATGAAGAATAATTGACAATCGAAAGGATAATGGATCAATTAAAGAAAGAGCGGACTATTTTGAGCAGACTACGAAGAAATCAGATAAACTAAAATAAATAAGGCGGGCGTGAAACAATGAACTTTGTTCGAAGTATTTTCCTGGCTTGCAAACGAGGCATTTATTTGCAATTTGAACGAGATTAACAAATCTAGCTCGAATCAAAGGGGAACCTTGTAAAGAAGAAGACGAACGTTGCCCTTGATTTCATTTTAATCGATGTGGTTGAAATGGAAAAGTATTTATGATGCAGAAAATAAATGAAAGAGAGAATGAAAAAAAAATGATCCCGCAATAAACAAAGGAAACGAATCTAAAACAAACAAACTTTCATTCGATCAAGAAAAAGAAGCAGATATGAAAAGAAGCAGATATGAAAAAAAAAAAAAAAAAAAAGACTGCAACGAAATCGTGACTGAAACAAAAGAAAAATCGATTTAGTTTATTGGGTTTACCGACATTTTGCAAATGATTTGTTGGAATTTTTCAATGAAATTGCACCAATTTTTTATTTATTTATTTATTTATTCCTTTTTTTTATTGAAAATTCGACATATTTTTCTTTAGTTTTGATATTAGCAGAAGAAAACGATAAACTGGAAAGTTAACAAAAAGGCACACTAGAAAGATTTTCAAATGGCAACACTCAAAATTAAGAAAGAACGAACATAGAAATAAAACGAAAACAACACTGCTTCTCACATGTAACGTCTCCCTTCAGGACGTACGTGATCATGATTCTCCACAACTTCCCATCGTTTATAGCTCATAGTAATATTTACCCTCTCACCATCCCTCCCAGACTCTATTTTGCCATCCATTTACACAGGAACGCACATATTCTTTTCTCCTATCCTTTACTATGCCCTGTGAGTGTGGAAATTTCCAAACCTTCTTTTCTCATCATTTGTTTCTGTCTATATCTCTGAGATAAGATATTATGGCTACTTACATTATCTACATTATCGGACTGTTATCCTCATCTTCACTGCCATATTCACAACGTTTCGGCTGTTGTACGCCCCGGCCCTCTTCAGGTGACTGGAATTTCGAACCGGTCCCTTAATTTCGTCTACCGCGGTAGATCAAAGACACATAGCCCAGTGGATTAAGACGTTAGTTAGATCCAGTGACTAGACCCAAAGAGTTGTGAGTTCAATGTCAGGCCACAGCTATGATGAACCAAAACTTGCAGACATCTGGAAGAGGCATGCCACGTGGAACTAGAACAATCTACCCCACTAGACGAAGTAAAGGGTTCGAATCGAAATTCCTATCACCTGAAAAAGGCCGGAGCGTACAACGGCCGAAACATTGTGGATATGGCAATGAAGGTGAGGATATAAATCCGTAATAATGTAGATAAAGTAAGTAATCATAATACATCATCTCAGACATCCAATCACCTGAAGATGGCCGGAGCGTACAACGGCCGAAACGTTGTGAATATGGCAATGAAGATGAGGAGTGAGGATAACAGTCCGAATAATGTAAATAATGTAAGTAATAATCATTTGTTCCAGAAATTCCAACTATCTCTTTCTGATTCTAAGTGACCATTTTATTCGCCTTTTCTTGAAGACTTCCGCGTTCTTTTTATGACATTCTCAGCATCTTTCTGTAGAACAATATCTCTGTTGTCTGAATTGTTCAGCATTTGGTGCCACTCCAGAGGATTGATATTACACGGCAGTTCAACACTAGTCTTTGTTTCTAACGAAATTTTCCTGTTTTTTAGTACCTGGTTTAGTTTTTGGAAGGCATCTTTAATTATTTCAATGGTCCGCCTTTGTATTTTGGCGTCACATTTATCCTCCCCTGGAAAGATACTTCCAGATATTTAGACATCTGTACTTTATTTTGACATTTTCCAGTTCGTAGCTTGTACCTTAAGCTTTAAACAATCTCATAGAATGCTGATATATCAAACCTAAAAGCAATTATCAAAATTCACCACCTGTAATATTGTACATTATTTACATTTCTAAATGATTACTGGATTTTATTTTTTGACCTAATATATTTTTTATTACTTCAAACGCTATTTATAATGGATATAACTGAGGCCACCTTGCCGTGGTGTAATAGAAAGATTGTCTTGCTGTATCAATTACAATCCTAACTTGGTGCCCTTTACTTTCGGCCTTGTGCCACATCTAAACCGCGCTTAGAAAATTACTATAATGGATACATGTATTTGTGTAAATGCTCTGTTTATTTTTAACATTATTTATTTCATTTTTTGGTCCACGTATTCGATAAAACTTAATAAAGAATATATGCCCTCCAGCAATATTCGAAACCTCGCCCCTTTTGCAGGATGATTCGCCATCTGATCCGATATATTTTAAAGGCACTTGCTTTATTGTGAAACACATCTTAGCCGGATGGTAAAGGATGGAACAAAAAGTCTTTATATGGGAAGCCAATACGCGGACCGTATTTACCGACTTATAAGAAATTACCCTGAAGAATAGGCCTATGTCTTCCAAGACGAATATAAGGCAACGCTTAGGCTCAAGTAAGCCGGGATGGTTACCTAATTGTCTTCGCTGCTGGGACGTAGATTTGTATGTTGAGTCATTACATTATAATGTTAGCTATCTATTTAATTCAGTCTTTTATAAGTACTTGGCTGTTACAAGTATTTCTAAGATTATAACCCTTCCTGGAGCCGAGCCACAAGCTTAAACTTGCTCTGCTTACTAGTAGCGGCGGGAGCCTTTTTGCTCTTGACGAGTATGTCGTTGCCATACAAACAAAATCGGACGAGTGATTAATGTAACTCTTACGTAGCGCCAGTATGTAAGGCACGCATAGAGAATGCGTTTTTGCATGAGAATGAATTTTTTCTTCTTAGAAATTTCTTTCCAATATTAAGGTGCGTCTTCCAAGCCGCAGCATCTTGTAAGCCGGAAAATATGATATATATATTAACGATGCGGACTGTTTTTTTTCTACTAAAGTAAGGTGGAGACTTCAGTCAGGGTTCTCCTTTGCAAAGGCCCCCGGCTTGTTCGGCCCTGCATTCACACGAATACCTTGCCTTATCTCTCTTGTCCTTAATATGCCCTGTGAGAGTTAAGTTCTCCAAGCCCTCTTTCCTCATTATGCGTCTAAATAATTTCCACTACCTTTTTCTGATTCTGAGTAGAAGTGTTCTTATGTATCTGTCCATATTTCTGAGATGAGGTATTATGTACACTATTTACATTATTCGGACTATTGTCCTCATCTTTGTCGACATATTTATTACAACGTTTCGGCCTTTCAGTATCTGTCTATATTTCTGAGATGAAGATGTATTATGTACACTATTTACATTATTCGGACTATTGTCCTCATCTTTGTTGCCATATTTATTACAACATTTCGGCCCTTTAGAATCTGTCTATATTTTTGAGTATATACACTATTTACATTATTAGGACTATTATCCTCATCTTTGTCGCCATATTTATTACAACGTTTCGGTCCTCGTACGCTCCAGCCTTCTTCAGGTATTTGTTGAACTGAACTGAACCCTTTATTTCGCTCACTGGGCTAGACTGTTCGAGTTCCACGTGCCATGTTTAATGGATGTCAGTTATCAGTTATCTCCTGTTAATTTCCCTCTCCAAGTTCTCCACTGCCTTAACTGGGTATTGAAGTCACACATTTTGGGTCCTGTCACTGGATCTAACTAACACTTTTATCCACTGTGCCATGTGTCCTCAAGGACCCACAGAGTGTGAGTTCAATACCCGGTTAAGGCAGTGGAGAACTTGGAGAGGGGAATTAACAGGAGAAAACTGATAACTGACACTCTTTTCTTTGTTTCCGTTTTTCAGCACCTTGCCTAGTTTTCGGAATGCTTCTTTCACTAGTCCAATAATGGCAGCAGCAAAATGAAACTGTTCGATGGCCCAATATTGATCGGGTCTATTTATAGCCTAACCCTTTTGCAAAGTCGATGGACTCATTAACAGATGTCTAAGGTAGAATTTAAGTCAAGAAATATTTATATATTTGAATAATTTCTCCATATTAATTTCTGTTTCTGGAATATTGAAAGACTTTTGTCAATCAAGATAGGAAGTAGACCTTCTTGTTCTATATGCTGTAAGCCTTCAGGACATAGATGACCACGGCTCTCTACAACTTCCTATTCTTCTCATGTATTAGCAGTGTTTGGCATTTTAATAATCCGTCCCCTGTCTTTACACAAACTTGTCAAATAGGCTATTCGCTGTTTCTCTCTGTCACGCTGACCTTCAGTATGTCATGTGAGTAGCAAATTCTCTAACCCCACTTTCCTCATTATATATACTAAAAATGATAGGGATACAAATAAAGGAGTTTATAATTAAGAGAAGTAAATGCCGATGTATTTTGACTTCCATGGTAGGAAAGCAGACACAGCAGTGCTTTGCTTACCATAGAAGGCTGGCAGATATGAAAAAGATTTATCGACCAAATTACGAAGCGAGATAACGGTGTATTTTGTATAAAACTTAATAATGTCGAACTCACAAGAGCTTTTACATTTGAACGTCTATATGTGTCCGTAGTAGCAAAGTTTTTTTTTTTTTTTTCGAGAAATAATGTTGACTAGTGTATTACTGGAGGATAATATGTACTTGTTCCTCCCCTCGTTAGTTAACACGACCGTTACCTCCTGTCAATACGTAATAAATAATGAGCTGTTACGCGTGTAAAGGGGGAATGGACATCTGAACACTGCCGACTCAACACCGCCGACTGAGCGCCTGGACAACTCAGGACCGAGACAACTCAGCACCAGAAAAACATAACATTACGTGGTAACAGTGAGATAATGAAAGGAATAAAGAGAGAATGGAAGAGAGAGAATCAAATTAGGCTGATAAGAAAATAATAATAAGCAAATCAGACAAGAAGAAAACTTTTCATTTTTTAAAATTATATGCCCTATTTGTGTTCATTTAGAGACACTAAGTTCGAATTGTTTTAAATCTTTTTCCAACTCGAAAGTTAAACATTTCTGTTACTTTACTGAAGTTGAATCAGTTTTTAAACCTTTTGAATGGACATGAGAGGCGGGGCTATTATATCTAAAGAAAGTAAGATCTTCGCCCCGAGATAGAATAACCTTGCCAATATTAAACATATGTCTATCAAGTTTTGGTTTGTACTGTCTCCAGAAATAAGATAGTTATGAACCAGCGTTGCTTCCAGCTAATCACTGACTCAGTTTCTTTGTCAAGCAGTGTGTCATATCAGCACGAAGTAGACTAGGGTACAGAGCAGGTTAAACTTACGTCTTTCCAAAAAGCAGAATCGCTTTCTCAGATCAATGATTAAATACGTGTGAATGAAGTCCGCGTTGATAGAGAGAACCAGTCGTATTCGAACCTCGTAGACTGGCGCTACAGCATCCCAAACAAAGGTCGGTGTCAAATAACAGAAAGCCCATTAGCTGAAAACTTTCGACAGCAGCCACAACTAAAAAGTATAGTACAAGTAACTCGAAAAGTAAATGACATAATCAAGGTGATGCCTTTCAATACAACTTAACACCACCTATTCAAAACCGACGGCATTCAGCCGTCGAATGAGTACTTGGACTACTCAGGACTGAGTCAACTCAGGACTTAGACAACCCAGGACTGAGGCAACACAGGACTCAAACAACTCAAGAATGAGATAACTCAGGATTGAGTCAACTCAGGACTGAGATAATTCAGGACTTAGAGAACTCGGGACTGAGGCAACACAGGACTCAAACAACTCAAGAATGAGATAACTCGGACTGCCATAACTCCGGACTGAGATAATTCAGGACGGCGAGAACTCAGGACTAATATAACTCAGGACTGAGTCAACTCTGCACCTGATTGTTCTATAAAAGACGCTTGTTTTTAATTATTTTTATTAATGTAAAGTTTTCAATAAAGTAAATCAACATTCTAAAATATTTTTATAAAATATAATTTAATAAAACACAAAATTTAAGAAAAAATAATTATTTTTTTTTAATTTGTATTATATAAAAATAGTTTTAAATACTTAACGGACTTAAAGAATTACTCAAACCTGTATGCAATTCCTCCATTGAATTATTTTTTATATATCAATTTACTTTATTAAAGTAAATTTCTTTAAGACTTATATTATTAAAAATAATCAAAAACAATAAACTGGTTCATATTTTATATTCATTAATGTTTTAATATTTAATAAATTACTGTTATTCGGTTATAAATAATGTTATATTTTTCTGGTGCTGAGTAGTCTCGGTCCTGAGTTGTCCAGGTGCTCAGTCGGCGGTGTTGAGTCGGCAGTGCTCCGATATCCATTCCCGTAAATATACTTTATACATACGAATAAAGAGAGAGAGAGAGAGAGAGATAGAGAGAGAGAGAGAGAGAGAGAGAGATGGGAGAAAAGAGAGAAGTAAATCACCACTGACAAAACGAGAAATCATTAGGCGGCAAACAAAAGAAATCTCTGAAAACGAGGCGCACTCCTTACTTCGGTTGGATTGGCGCTCTATCGACTAATGCACAACACACGTTCTCTTTCTGTTCCTTTATTAGCTGTATTTTTGCGGGTGTTGGCGGGAAGTGTTCAAACGTAAAACATTCTACTCTTTATCCTACACTTTCTCTCCAATCCTTCTTCTTTACTTCCAGCTGAACGATCTCGAGAAAAAGAACACAGTTATTGCATCGATTGGCTACACATTTCTCTCTTATTTTTTAGACAGACATCACGGTAACATGCGCGTACGCTGGCGTACATGTCTGTGCTCGTTTGCTGTTAACTTTTCCTTACCAATGCAATGGAAATGGACGCAGACTCAGGTCGGATCATCAACAGAGGTTTAGCATTTCAGGACTTGTAAATTCGTCAGATGGACGAGGGGGAATCGTTATCGGCGCGGACACTTGAATCGATGAACTAAATTCGAATTCGGTTACAAGGGAAATACATGAAGTCACCATATCTCTCACCAGATGTGGGTTAAATAATAAGGCAGCCAAGTAGGAGCCACATAAAGCTAGACAGACTTCGATGGCAACTAATTTATAAGAAGGAAAACCATCTATTCCAAATTCTAGAGAAAGCAACGAGAAACGACTTCATTATTTTTTTCTGGAAGTGATGCCAATTCACAGATAATAAGGAAATGGAATCTGTAGAGAAGGCAATGGGAAACCACTTCACTATCTTTCCCAAGAAGTCATGACAATTCACAGATAATAAAGAAAAGGAATCTGTAGAGAAGGCAATGGGAAACCACTTCACTATCTTTCCCAAGAAGTCATGACAATTCACAGATAATAAAGAAAAGGAATCTGTAGAGAAGGCAATGGGAAACCACTTCACTATCTTTCCCAAGAAGTCATGACAATTCACAGATAATAAAAAAAAGGAATCTGTAGAGAAGGCAATGGGAAACCACTTCCCACTATCTTTCCCAAAAAAAGTCATGACAATTCACAGATAATAAAGAAAAAAGAAAAGGAATCTGTAGAGAAGGCAATGGGAAACACTTCACTATCTTTCCCAACAATCATTTCCCAAAAAGGAATCTGTAAGTTCACTATCTTTCCCAAGAAGTCATGGCAATTCACAGATAATAAAGAAAAGGAATCTGTAGAGAAGGCAATGGGAAACCACTTCACTATCTTTCCCAACAAGTCATGACAATTCACAGATAATAAAGAAAAAGAATCTGTAGAAAGGCAATGGAAACCACTTCACTATCTTTCCCAAAAGTCATGACAATTCACAGATAATAAAGAAAAGGAATCTGTAGAGAAGGCAATGGGAAACCACTTCACTATCTTTCCCAAGAAGTCATGACAATTCACAGATAATAAAGAAAAATCTGGAATCTGTAGAAGGCAATGGGAAAAACCACTTCACTATCTTTCCCAAGAAGTCATGACAATTCACAGATAATAAAAAAAAGGAATCTGTAGAGAAGGCAATGGGAAACCACTTCACTATCTTTCCCAACAAGTCATGGCAATTCACAGATAATAAAAGAAAAAAGGAATCTGTAGAGAAGGCAATGGGAAACCACTTCACTATCTTTCCCAAGAAGTCAACAGATAATAAAGAAAAGGAATCTGTAGAGAAGGCAATGGGAAACCACTTCATATCTTTCCCAAGAAGTCATGGCAATTCACAGATAATAAAGAAAAGGAATCTGTAGAGAAGGCAATGGGAAACCACTTCACTATCTTTCCCAACAAGTCAATTCACAGATAATAAAGAAAAGACAATTCAAACCAGATAATAAAGAAAACAGATAATAAAGAAAATCTGTAGAGAAGGCAATGGGAAACCACTTCACTATCTTTCCCAAGAAGTCATGACAATTCACAGATAATAAAGAAAAGGAATCTGTAGAGAAGGCAATGGGAAACCACAATCTTTCCCAAAGAAAAGGGAATCATGATTCACAGATAAAAAAAAAAGAAATCTGTAGAAAGGCAATGGGAAACCACTTCACTATCTTTCCCAACAAGTCATGGCAATTCACAGATAATAAAGAAAAGGAATCTGTAGAGAAGGCAATGGGAAACCACTTCACTATCTTTCCCAAGAAGTCATGGCAATTCACAGATAATAAAGAAAAGGGAATCTGTAGAGAAGGCAATGGGAAACCACTTCACTATCTTTCCCAACAAGTCATGGCAATTCACAGATAATAAAGAAAAGGAATCTGTAGAGAAGGCAATGGGAAACCACTTCACTATCTTTCCCAAGAAGTCATGGCAATTCACAGATAATAAAGAAAAGGAATCTGTAGAGAAGGCAATGGGAAACCACTTCACTATCTTTCCCAACAAGTCATGGCAATTCACAGATAATAAAGAAAAGGAATCTGTAGAGAAGGCAATGGGAAACCACTTCACTATCTTTCCCAAGAAGTCATGGCAATTCCCAGATAATAAAGAAAAGAATCTGTGAGAAGGCATGGAAACCAATTCAAGAAGTCAGATATAATAAAGAAAAGGAATCTGTAGAGTAGGCAATGGGAAACCACTTCACTATCAATGGGAAACCACTTCACTATCTTTCCCAAGGAAGTCATGGCAATTCACAGATAATAAAATAAAGAAAAGGAATCTGTAGAGAAGGCAATGGGAAACCAAAGAAGTCATGGCAATTCAAGATAATAAAGAAAAGGAATCTGTAGAGAAGGCAATGGAAACCACTTCACTATCTTTCCCAACAAGTCATGGCAATTCACAGATAATAAAAAGGAAAAAGGAATCTGTATAGAAGTCAGGCAATGGGAAACCACTTCACTATCTTTTCCCAAGAAGTCATGGCAATTCACAGATAATAAAGAAAAGGAATCTGTAGAGAAGGCAATGGGAAACCACTTCACTATCTTTCCCAAGAAGTCATGGCAATTCACAGATAATAAAGAAAAGGAATCTGTAGAGAAGGCAATGGGAAACCACTTCACTATCTTTCCCAAGAAGTCATGGCAATTCACAGATAATAAAGAAAAGGAATCTGTAGAGAAGGCAATGGGAAACCACTTCACTATCTTTCCCAAGAAGTCATGGCAATTCACAGATAATAAAAAAAAAAGGAATCTGTAGAGAAGGCAATGGGAAACCACTTCACTATCTTTCCCAAGAAGTCATGACAATTCACAGATAATAAAGAAAAGGAATCTGTAGAGAAGGCAATGGGAAACCACTTCACTATCTTTCCCAAGAAGTCATGGCAATTCACAGATAATAAAGAAAAGGAATCTGTAGTATGGGAAACCACAATGGAAGTCAAACCACTTAATAAAGAAAAGGAATTTGTAAAAGGAATCTTTCCCAAATTCACAGATAATAAAGGGAAACCACTTCACTATCTTTCCCAAGAAGTCATGGCAATTCACAGATAATAAAGAAAAGGAATCTAATAAAGAAAAGGAATTTGTATGGCAAACCATTCACTATCTTTCCAACCAATAAAGAAAAAGGAATCTGTATGAAACCAATTTATCTTTCCCAAGAAGATAATAAAAGAAAAGGAATCTGTAGAGAAGGCAATGGGAAACCACTTCACTTCTTTCCCAAGAAGTCATGGCAATTCACAGATATTAAAGAAAAGGAATCTGTAGAGAAGGCAATTGGAAACCACTTCATTATCTTTCCCAAGAAGTCATGGCTATTCACAGATAATAAAGAAAAGGAATCTGTAGAGAAGGCAATGGAAACCACTTCACTATCTTTCCCAAGAAGTCATGGCAATTCACAGATAATAAAGAAAAGGAAACTGTAGAGAAGGCAATGGGAAACCACTTCACTATCTTTCCCAAGAAGTCATGGCAATTCACAGATAATAAAGAAAAGGAATCTGTAGAGAAGGCAATGGGAAACCAATATCTTTCCCAAGAAGTCATGACAATTCACAGATAATAAAGAAAAGGAATCTGTAGAGAAGGCAATGGAAACCACTTCACTATCTTTCCCAAGAAGTCATGGATAATAAAGAAAAAAAATCTGTAGAGAAGGCAATTCAAGAAGTCAGATAAGATAATAAAGAAAAGGAATCTGTAGAGAAGGCAATGGGAAACCACTTCACTATCTTTCCCAAGAAGTCAAGTTCATGATAATAAAAAAGAATCTGTAGATGGGAAACCACTTCAATATCTTTCCCAAGAAGTCATGACAATTCACAGATAATAAAGAAAAGGAATCTGTATAGAAGGCAATGGGAAACCACTTCACTATCTTTCCCAAGAAGTCATGACAATTCACAGATAATAAAGAAAAGGAATCTGTAGAGAAGGCAATGGGAAACCACTTCACTATCTTTCCCAAGAAGTCATGACAATTCACAGATAATAAAGAAAAGGAATCTGTAGAGAAGGCAATGGGAAACCACTTCACTATCTTTCCCAACAAGTCATGGCAATTCACAGATAATAAAGAAAAGGAATCTGTAGAGAAGGCAATGGGAAACCACTTCACTATCTTTCCCAAGAAGTCATGACAATTCACAGATAATAAAGAAAAGCTGTAGAGAAGGCAATGGGAAACCACTTCACTATCTTTCCCAAGAAGTCATGACAATTCACAGATAATAAAAGGAAAGGAATCTGTAGAGAAGCAATGGAAACCACTTCACTATCTTTCCCAAGTTTCCACAGAAAAGTAAATAATAATAAAAAAAAGGAATTTGTAGAGAAGGCAATGGGAAACCACTTCACTATCTTTCCCAAGAAGTCATGGCAATTCACAGATAATAAAGAAAAGGAATCTGTAGAGAAGGCAATGGGAAACCACTTCACTATCTTTCCCAAGAAGTTGGCAATTCACAGATAATAAAGAAAAGGAATCTGTAGACAATGGAAACCACTTCACTATCTTTCCCAAGAAGTCATGGCAATTCACAGATAATAAAGAAAAGAATCTGTAGAGAAGGCAATGGAAACCACTTCACTATCTTTCCCAA